CCGCGCCTGCGGTCAGCACCGGGGACAGCGCCCGGCAGGCGGGGCGGGAGGGGCGAGGAGGGGCCGCTGGCTGAATGGGGCGCGCCCCGCCCTGGAGGGCTTAGGGGTGCGGCGGGGCAGGCACAAGCTCTCGGCCTCTGGAGACCACACTTGGTGACTTAAAACTGTGGCTCTTGCCCTTAGCCTCCATGGAGTGGGCCTGACTCATGAGAAGTATCAGGAACAAACACAGTACCTGAGTTCCAGATGGGGATAGCCAGGCCTTTCTTCCTGGTCTGTCTCAACCTGGAAGCTGTGCTGATTCTCCTTTTAGCATCGTAGTGACGGTTGAGCCTCCAGGGAAGACCAGGGTGGTGTCTGCGCATGCGCTGCCTCGGTCAGGCCTGAATCCCGCTCTCCCTTGGGGAAGGCGAGGATGCTGCCACCCCCGCCCTCCCACGGTTCCTATTAATGCTGCCAGGAGCTTGGCGTGGTACTGAGTCTCTCACGCGACCAGGCCTGTGTGCCCTGACCGCCATCAGAGTCAAGGGAGGCGGCTAGGAGACAGAGGACTGTCTGGTGGACAATTGTCCACCACAGGGAGGGGGAAGAACCAACTGGGAAAGTTCATTTGCTGGTGTGAAAGATGAGGAAAGGCTGGCCAGGGCCTGTGTGTGAGGGACAGGGAGCCGCCACTGCCCTCAGCGGGGACATGCGTTATGCTGCCTGACACAACAGGCCTGGGAGTTGATATTTGCAAGATAAATAATGGAGGTCCTGAGCACCTCATTAAGGCAGCCTTTGCCGAGATGGGATCTGCTGGCGCATTAATTAATGGAATTAATGTCGCTCCTGGTTCCTTTAAGACCAAGTTAGGTTGAATCTAATTCCCACTGTGGCCCAGTACTAGTGCCCGTTCCTAGAAGCAGCAGCCAGATGCTTAATTTACATCCACGTTTTCTTGCAAGGGAAGAAAACACCAAGTTTTCTTCCATTGTTCTGAGCCAGAGTGACGCATGCCTTGCTCAGACTCCACCTGTCATGCCAACAGGGCAAACACACTTGAATTGCGGTGGAAATGTAACAAAGCATGTATCATCTGAGCAATCGCTCCAGTTCAGTGGGTGGCCATTCTCACTGTCCTAATCCAAGTCATTGTACCACCACTTGCAGAAAGTGGACAAGGGCAGTCAGATCAGCCCCTGGCCCTTGTCTCAGCCCATACCACCCCCACCCACACACACACAGTCATTCACTGAAGTGGCCACCAATCTTGACAACTCAGTGTGGGCATATGTCCTGCCTGTTCTTTCAGGTAACCCCACACACTCCTCGATGAGAACCCCACGCAACCATGATAAGGAACCACATATGCTCCTTGAGAAGAATCTCATGCACCACATCACACTCAAGAGCCCACAAGTTACACAACGGTGACTTCTTTTTTTTTTTTTTTCCAGGAGAAATAACTTTATTTGGACTGAGAGCTGGAGAACAGAAGCAGGGCCTGAGATAACCATCTAAGCTAGAGAGTAGAGCTGAGGTTCCAAAATGGCACTCAGAACTCACCAACCAAATAGACTCCACTTCCCAACAGGCTTGTTGTTAGTGTTAACGATAGAAGCCCTCAAGGGAAAGCTATCTGCCACACTACTGAAGTGGGCTACTCTCACATAAAAAGTACAAGAGTTTGGCTTTTATAAAATACATATTTTGTAATTCCATTTCCAAGACATTCCATCCATTCCTATTACAAAATGGTGTTTTTTTAAAAAAAAAAAACAACACATATCTTAAATTTGTCTTCAGCATTTAGTTCCAAGAGCTTACCTTCTTAAAAAACAAACAAAAACAAAAACAAAAAAAACCCAACATAACAAAACAACCCGTTTGCTAAACTCATCAGCTGAAAATTCTGTCCAAGGACTCTGCCAGCTCAGGATAATGAGCTTTTCCCACTTTCCCTAGCTAGTTAGGGCTAAGCAGCAGAATGAGGTTCAGGCAGGAGGTACAAGGGTTAATTCCCCTCAGTACAACATGGCTTCTGAAGCTTGATGGGAGAGTAGAACTGGTGAGACTTGAGGGGAGGGTCCAGGCCCTGTATTCAGTCAGAGTCACTGCTGGAAGAGGAGGAGGAGGAGGAATGCTTGCCATGTTTGTGGTGTTTGTGCATCTTTTTATGAGCTTTCTTCATTTTTTCCCGTGTCTTCTTATCCATCACCATTCCTGGTCCCATCATGCCAGGAGCCAAGGGATTCATAGGAGGCATGCCAGGGGCAGGTGGTGGGTAAGGAGGTGGATAGTGTCCTGGTGGGTGGCATCCCGGATACCCTGGTTGGGGCATAGGTTGAGGAGGTACACATGGGGGGAAGGGTGGATTCCCAGGAGGTACTCCTGGGGGAGTGGGAAAGGAGCCTGGAGGAAAAGCAGAATTGCCAGCTGGTAGATAGACAGGGTTGGAACCCCCAGGACATGCAATTTGGGGTGGTATGGATTTGGCCCCGGTGGTCCGGTACTGGCATTCCACATGTTCAGGTGTTTTCTCAAGCCCTTTTTACAACAACTAGGGCTCGATGCGTCCTTTCCAGCCTCACAACGGTGACTTCTGATGGGGGTTTGGCATCTCTCAATGCTGCTCTTGTGAACGCGGCAGAGTGAACATCCTTGCACACACATCTTTGTGGATGGACAGGTTTTTCTGAATGCAAAATAAACTATTGGAAGATGCAGTGAATATATGTGGAAAATCCCCACAGAAACCACAGTTGCAGCCCCCACGAGACTGTGCAAATGTTCCCACACATCCATGTTGCAGAGGGGAGAGTGGGTACCTTCTCCAAAACAAGCAGGATCTGTAGTTTTTAAAATCCATGTCAGTCCTACATGTGAAAACAATCACATTCACGTGTAAGTTTGTCATCTCCTGACCAGTAGAGGTTGAGTTTCTCATGCTTGTTTTTAAAAAAGAAAAACCTTCACGCAACCCTTTGCCACTGACTGTGACTCACAGCAGTCCTACAGGACAGTGTAGAAGCACCAGGTGGGTTCGAGAGCTGCCAGGCTTTACGGCTCCCTCCTGCAGGCTGACCAGCAAGTTCCAACCGCCGACCTTGTTTAGCAGGCAAGCATGTGACCACTGACCCACCTAGAACCCACACGCTTGTTACTGTCTGTGAATTGCACATTTTCCAACACGCAGGTGTGGACAACCAGTCATTAGCTCTCCTGGTAAAACCCTTTATGTCAGGTGACTCGCTCGGCATTCCTGCTGCATGAACCACCTCAGCTCATCCAGGGAGGTGCGGGAGTCACTCCTGCCCATCCGTCAGCCAGGTTGACTAAGTGGGGCACCTCTGAAGATAGCGCACGTGGGAGATTTGATCTGAGAAAAGAGAGACCATCATAACCAGGAGGGAAATGATCCAATAGAAAAACTACAGAACAAAATGCAAAGATTGTTAAATTGACAGTTGCTATTAAGCACGCTAAGCACCATCTAGCTGACCATGACCCTTAGTGACCCGATGAGCAATGGCTCTGAACCCTGCCTGATGCTGTACCACCCCGGTCACCTCTGGCATACTCAACCCCATTACAGTGTCAACCCATCACACGGAGGGCCTTCTCCTCCTTTGCTGACCCTTCACCTTTCCAAACATGGCATCCGTTCCAAGGACTGGCCCCTCCTCACAATATGCTCAAACTATGTGGGACAAAGCTTCATCATCCTTGCCTCCAAGAGGCATTCTGAGTGTACCTTTTCCAAGATAGAGAGAGAGAGAGAGAGAGAGAGAGAGAGATTTTGTCCTTTTCGCAGTCATGGGATATTGAGCACTCCTCCCCAATGCCACAGTTCAGAGGCATGAATTCTTCTGTCATCCTTATTCATCGTCCAACTTTCAGTGCCATAGCAAGTGATGTAAAAGATTATGGTTTGGATGAGGTGCACCTTAGTCCTCATACTAACATCACTGCTCTTTTTTAAAAAAAAAATTATTATTATTATTGTGTGTGTACCGTCAAATCAGATCTGAGTGGTACAGGAGGAGATTGTCCCTCCTTCTCCAGCAGAGCATCTGGTGAATTCGAACCATGCACCTCTGGGATTGCAGTGCAGCTTCCTGCCACTAGGCCACCAGAGCTCCGTAACTAACATCAGCACTTTGGACAGGTCCCTGACAGCCAATCTGCCCAATGCAATAGTCTTTGATGTCCTGGCTGCTGGTGCCAAGGGTGTTGATTGTATATCCAAGCAAGATAAAATAATTGACAATTTCTTTCTCTTCTTCGTCTATCATGTTATCTATTGGCCCAGTGGTGAGGATTTTTGTCTTCTTGATACTGAAGAGTAGCATATATTGAAGGCTGTAGTCTTTGACCTTCTTTAGTAAGTTCAAATCTTCTACACTTTCAGCAGCAAGATTGTATCATCTGCATAACAAAAAGTTGTTGATGAGTCTTCCTCCAATCCAGATGCCACATTAAATAGCTATAACTTTTTTTTTCAAATGAACAACAGATATTTTATTATAAGTTTTTTAATTGATATTTTAATGAAAGTTTAATGAAATTGGGTTTCCAATCTTTCATTGTTGTACATTTTCCTCCCTGCTCCCCCTCCCCCCAGATTACCTTTTTCTTTGGAAAAAAAGTTTTTTCATTGTTATACAGTCTGTTCCCCCACCCCAGATCACTTTACTATGCAGCACTTATTCTGGGCTGTAGTCATACGTATAATGTCTAATCATAT